CCAGCATGTAGCCTGGCTGGCCTGGAATTCACCATGCAGACCAGGCTGGCCTTGAACTCACAAGAGCTCAACCTCCCTCTGCCTTAGTGCTGGGGTGAAATGTGTGCACCACCCGCCTGACGAGGCAGAATGCTGACCACCTGCCCCAGTTCAGCCTCGGTTGAAAACAAAAGCTCCTATTGATGCCTTTTAAGATGAACTCAGGGTCTCTAGTTTGCTCCTCTTCCCAGTGGCATTGGTTAAAGTCCTTTTTCTGTTTTTCACCATTGTTCCTGTCTTTGATTGGCATATCGGGACAGGTGGCTAAACCTGTGCTTGCGCCCTGGAACTCTGATTACACTTTGGCAAGATTTCTTTCGCTCTGTTCTGATTTGGTTGTTGGTTTTGATTTGGTATTTTCTAAGGCAGGGTGTGAAGTCCAGACTGACCTCCAGTTCCCTAGGTGGCTGGGCATGGCCTTGAACTCCTGATCCTCCTACATCTGCCTCCCAGATGCTGCAACGACAGACCTGTGTCGCCACACTTGGCTCTTGATTCTTTCTTTTGTTATTGAAATGCTTTTTCGTTTTCTCTTTACTCTCAGGCATATGTTCTGATTCCCCCACACCACTCCCCTCATAGAGTCACCAAAATCCTATGCAATTTGCACATGTGCCTTAAATACATGTCATTTTTACATGTGGAGGACCACGAGAAAGAGAGAGAAGCAGGTACCTAGGTGAACATAGCTGATTAAGGAAGGCCCAGGTGCACAGGGCAGCCTGGGCTGGGAAAAGTATTGCTTTTTAATACTTGAACACAACATGGACCATTTTTCCTCATTGCAAATATCCACTTCTGACTTTACATGTGTGTACATGTGTGCACATGCATGTGGGGGCAGGGGTCATTGGGGAAGGAGGCTAGAGGCTGAGGCTGCTGTCTTTTCCAGTCACTGTCCCCCTTATTTTTTGAGACATGATCTCTCACTGTCTGGAGCTCACCACTTTGGCTGGACTAACTGTCCCGCAAGCCCCAGGGACTCTCCTGTCTCCCTCTCCCCTCACTGGGATTACAGGCATGAGCCACCACACAGTGCTTTTTACCTGTGTGCCAAGGATCTGAATTCGGGTCCTTGTGCCTGGGGCAACAGCACTGACTGTGTCTCTTGATTCTCCCCTAGCTTTTACTTCTTCACTAAAAAGGCTAGTTTACTCTGCAACTTATATTTTGAGGCATCATGGATTTCTTAAGTGTCTCCTATGTACTTAAAATCATATTTCAAGCCCAAAATACCACTAAGTGTGGGACTACAAACCTGTAATCCCAGCATTTGGAAGGTAGAGGCAGCAAAATCCAAGACAGGATCTCCTGGGGTAGGGGCACTGTTTGTATCCCCTGATGGGGGGAGGGCTGAGCTCAGGGATCATCTGGGGATCCAAATGAACAGGTGTATCAAGTTGAACTATCTTTTGTTTTTCGCTTTTTTTGTTTCTGTGGTGCTCGGGATTGAATCTAAGGCTTGCACAGCATGCTAGGCAAGTGCCCTGCCACTGAGCAATGGCCCAGCCTCCTTTCTGGTTTTGTTTTAAATTGGGATTCTCACCAAATTGCCCAAGCAGGCCTTGAACTCCTGCTCCCCAGTCTTGGCCTCCTGAAAAGTTAGAATTACAAGCCCGTGTGACCATGCCCAATTTGAAATGTTTTTCAATGTGATCAGACCACGTCATTATATCTGGAGAGAAGCAGCCTTGAAGCCAGGTGTGAGGAGATGAAAGGACGGTAATGCGGTGGTTTGAATAAGAACACACACACACACACACACACACACACACACACACACACACACACCATAACTCATAGATTTGAATGCTTACTCACCAGGGAGTGGAGCTATTTGAAAGGGTTAGGAGGCGTGGCCTTGTTGGAGGAGGTGTGTCACTGTGCGTGGGCTTTGAGGATTTCAAAAGACCAAGCCAAGCTCTCTCTGCTGCTGCTTGAGAATCCAGCTGTGGACCTCGGCTACCTCTCCAGCACCGTGTCTGCCTGCGTGCCACCATCCTTTCTGACTTGATGATAACAGACCAAACCTCTGAAACTGTAAGCCAGTCCCAATTAAATGCTTTCCTTTACAAGAGTTGCTGTGGTCATGCTGTCTCTTCACAGCAATAGAAAACTCTCCGTGTGGATAGGGCCTGACAAAGCCAGCCAGTCTTTGGAAAGGGCCAAATACAAGTGGTAGCTTTGCAGATCCGCCTTCTCTCTGGAGCCTCTGATCCAGAGAGCCTCAGACCCAGGCAGACTCCAAGGGAGGGCGTTGGATACGGCTTTAATAGTTCAGTGTTCCAATGACTGTGCCGCAGAGTGGGTGAGCATCGTCTGTCTCACTGCTGGCTGCTGACTAAGCCCTTGCAGCATAGGAAGAATAGATTATATCCTGGCAGTCCAGTCCTTTATCTATGTTTACAGAAGAAAGAGAGCCCAGGAGGCAGGCCAGCAAGAGACAACAAAAGCCAGGTAAGCCAGTTGACCAGACATGGTAACTTTTTTCTTTTTTCTTTCTTTTTTTTTTTTCACTTGTAATCCTAGCATTTGGGAGACTAAGCCAAGAGGAATAAGAGTTCAAAGCTAGCCTGGGCTACATCAAAAGTCCCGAGGCCAGCCTAGATTATGGAAAACCCTGTCTCAATAAACAGCAAGGAGCTGGGGGATGGTGTGGTGGGTAAAAGCATTCATCCCACCAATCTGACCATCCAAGTTTGATCCCCAGAACCCACAAAAAAAACTGGTACAATAGCAGATACACCAGAAACCCGACTGCTGTGGGATGGTCTGTATGTCAAATTACTCTGATTGGTCAATAAATAAAACACTGATTGGCCAGTGGCTAGGCAGGAAGTATAGGCAGGACTAACAGAGAGGAGAAAAGAAAGAACAGGAAGGCGGAAGGAGTCACTGCCAGCCGCCGCCATGACAAGCTGCATGTGAAGATGCCAGTAAGCCATGAGCCACAAGGCAAGGTATAGATTTATGGAAATAGATTAATTTAAGCTATAAGAACAGTTAACAAGAAGCCTGCCATGGCCATACAGTTCGTAAGCAATATAAGTCTCTGTGTTGACTTGGTTGGGTCTGAGCGGCTGTGGGACCGGCGGGTGACAAAGATTTGTCCTGACTCTAGCTATACCCAACCTCAGCCAAGTGGGATGGCAGAACTAACTCCTGCCCTGGCCTCCACATAAGCATCACGGCACACATGCACATGCAAATGCACACACTAAATTAATAAATTACACATATACACAATCTATATAGTGTGTGTGTGTGTGTGTGTGTGTGTGTGTGTGTGTGTGTGTGTGTGTGTAGCACTACAGCAGATTGGAAGAGGATCCTTCCCCACACTTGGACTTTGGGTTTGGCCACAAGAATAGTTTTCACTAACTGGAAATGGGACATAGCTAAGGCTTAAAATGTGCTTGTGTGTTAGGGCTTGCCCGCTCATATTTCTGTCTTGACCTTCAGTTATCCCTTGGTCCATCCAACACAGTGCAGACTCAGACCTGCAGAATGAGACAGAACCAAGTCAGCCAACCTGTAGATCCATACCAACAAACAGCATAATATAACCCTTGCCTACAGAATCCAAGTCACTCGGAGCAGGAATCCAACATCCCATAAAGAACAAACAGCATAATATAACCCTCGCCTACAGAATCCAAGTCACTTGGAACAGGAATCCAGCATCCCATAAACTGTGACTGTGCCTCAGTGAACAACTTACTACCCATCAAAGAAGTGTGGTCCCCGGAAAGAAGCTGAGAAGAAGGGGTACACACGAAGATGATTTTGTTCCCACTGGAAGCAGTGGTTGAACAACTAGTATACAGTAATCCAAACACATTTAAAATACATATACTAGAACAAAGCAACTGTTCACTCTAGCTTTAGCAAAAGAGAGCAGAACAATAACTAAAAGGTCGAACTGGCCCAGATGTGAGCTGGGTCCCATCTCAGAGGCATCTACAGTCGCTGCATCATCTCAGTGTATCTTCCTTTTTTTTTAACTTTTTATTTTGAAATCGTTTTGCACTTGCAGAAAAAATAATTAAATAGACAGTTCCCATATTCTTCACTTAGCTTCCTCTAATACTATATAAGCCTACATAATCTTACCGTCCAAACCAGGGCATTCATTTGGAGAGACATGCTTGGGTGTGCTTTAGGCTTGCCTTGGTGCTTCACCATTTCTCATTCTGTGTCCCGCCTGAGCTCTAGGATTTGACCCAGAAGCCTTGTCTCTGCTCTTTTCCTCCCATCCCAACAGTTCCTCAATCTCCCTTGACATTTATGACTTGGGCATTTTTAAAAACCACTGATCACTTCTTTTATAGAATTACTTTATCTGATGTGTTTTCATGATGTGTGTGTGTGTGTGTGTGTGTGTGTGTGTGTGTGTGTGTGTGTGTGTTAGTTTAAGAAACCGTAAGAATGTTGCTGTGTCCCTCTGGAGTGCTGGGGCACACTGTGACATCAGCCTTGACTATTTGGTCGAGGCGTCTCTGCAGGAACTCACCATCATCCAGTCAGCGGTTTCCTTTTGAAGTCAGTGACCGCCTTGGGGAAGAGACCACAAACAGCATGTTTCTCCTCCAGCCCTCCACGGTGGACTTTAACCTCTAGCAGCTGACCTTAGCTGAGACACTACAGCTGCTGCGCACAGCAGCTTGCACACCGAAAGCTAGAGGGAGCCACTAAGGAACCGTCCCTTCGAATCCATCCCCAACCAAACCACTAAGAGACGCGAACTAAGTGTGCGAAAGCGCTCAGAACGGTCCTTCCTCGGACTGGTTGACTCTCAGCCACCTCTCTGCACGGCTTTGCAGAGTCAAGCGAACAGCCTTTCCCGGGTCTTATAGGCGTCAATACAGAGAACAGCTAGGAACAACTAGGAACATACCAGCGTCCATGTAACCAAAGCGAGTAAAGCCAAGGTGTAGAACAGAAAACCACAGGAGCCTGGTGAGCACAAACAGGCACTCAACTTAGCCCGCTGCCAGCTTCCTGCGAGTTGTTACATTAACAAAGAAACGGCCTCCTCTGAGCTATGGCCCAAGCAGAGCCCCAGACAACATCCTCATTTTCAATAACTCTTCCCCTTTATCTCACTCCGCCTGATGCCTAATAAGCTGATTGCTATTTACTTTGGGCCAACAGCTAATCTGTTAATGATTGATTTTAAATTTTTACAGTCATTTGTCTTTGGCAGGACCTGAGACTAAGGAAGGCAGTCCTTTCCTACCTGATGAATTGGCTTTTTCTTTAGGGGAGAGACCAACAAGGCAAAAAAAAGAAAGAAAGATTTAAGTCAAAAGTCGTCATGGTTACATTGTGCTGAGGAGCAGTTGACACCCAATGAGAAATTTCAGTGCAGAAGCCGAAAAGGTAAACTCTTCCCCCGAAAGTCAGCTGCCTCGGAATTGTCAGCAAACAACGCAAGTGGACATCTTCCTAATGGTGCCCCCGGGTAAAGACTGTCTTCAACATGAGGTAAATTGTAATTGTATCATAAATTTAAAGAGCCTGAAACTCTTAATTAACAAAATTGATACTCATTGCCTGGCTAGAATGGACTAACTAAAACCAAAACCATTCCAGTCCTTTAAAACAATCTAAACTGCACACCACACGGTGTATGGGTTTTTGTAGAAAATATGCCGAAGAGTGAGTTTGGCTTTCCACTTAAAAATCAGATGACCGTCGACGAGACAGTTGTTGGTCTGATTGGCATCACCCAACAGCGCTCGGCAATTTAATCACTGCTTCTAAGAATGGAGCCGTGGACAACTACTGTGTTCTGAAAAGGGCAGGGAACACCATGAGTTAGTGCTGTGCGTCTTCAGGAGCACGACTTCTTCCCAAAGTTAAGCTCTCCTCTGAGATGCCATCTCCAATTTTGTAAATAAGAATGACCCCCAAGGCTAGCATCTCCATCAAATATTTATTAAAATGCACCCCAAGACCTCTAATCTCAAAATGAAATTGAATGCATCCAAGTGTCCCTGAAAGACGAGAGTGATTTTTCAGTGTGAACCAGCACACTGACGTGATGAAGAGGAGGGACATGGGGAAAAGTGGGGTTCAGGGGTGCGGAAGTGATGGCAGATCTTCCTGGAGAGCCAGTATCATACATTAACAGACAGGACACTTTACAGAGCCTCTAAAAGGAAAGGCTAAACGGTTTGAAGGATAAAAGCCTTATCTTATTAATATTTTAGATCCCACAAGACATTGAGGCTCCATCTGCCATCACCAATACCTGAGAAAGGATGGGGGCAGTGGTGGGAGCAGGAGGGGGGGCATTGCCTCCCCCTGGTCTGCTGACCTTCTAGAGAGGCAAGTACCCCGTGACAGCAAGTGCCTATCTCAGCAGACACACTGGGAATGGGAGAAAGTGTTAAATATAACCAGGTGGACAGTGATGAATTGACATACTGAAAAATCGAACGCTTCAGTAATCGGCCTAAGGATCTGATATCAACAACATTTTTCAGTTTTGTCCAAATTCATTGAAAGGCGTACTTTAGCAAGTTCACTTCCCATTGGTGAGACCTTTCATCTTTACACTGCTTTCCTGATTGGATTCGGTGTCGCTGTCGCTTTGGGCGGCAGTATACACCAGCCGCTGACAGTTCGCTCGTGAGCCGAGGCAAAAGAAGATGAGCACAAGTATAAATGGGTTTTACTCTACCATTAATTAAAAAACGATTAAATATCTATCAATGTGGTTATTTAAAAAGAATTATGAAAGCCCTGCTATATAAAAATGCATCAGGTACTGAGCCCGATGGCGCTGGGAACCCGAGATGCTGAAATATGGGCTTCTGTTTTGCAGGAAGGAGCTTCTATAACTATAATTCTAATTACAGAACTCTAATTAATGTCAACAAGGCTCCCGATAACTTCATTAAATCTTTGGAATATTTGTATCATCTTAAGACAATCTCTATCCATTAGAATGAAGAAATCCTTTAAAATAACTTTTTCTAAATGCTGCTGCTGCATTTTTTCTTCTTTGGAGACACAAGTCATAAAATTTACTCCATGGTTTCATTCATCTCCAGAGCGGTATTCCAAAAATTCTCAAACTCAAACACTCTTCTGTTTTTTCCCCTGGAGCAGATGTAACATGGCTGTCAGCTACGATCACTCTCTCCCTTAGGCCTAAATAAAAACTGGCTCCAGCTTCCTTCCCACATCCTGTGGGAAGACCGGCATCTTCCCCCTAGATGTCTGAGAATGGCTGAGAGCTAATGTTCTCAGGGTCACTTGCCTCTCTCCCCAATGGCTCACTTGTCTCACATCTCCTGTGGCCGAGTTAGAGTCTAGACCTTGTACACAACCCTTTTCACTTTATTTCTGTCCACCAAAAGACTCAAAGTGTCCATGGGAAGCCGACCTTCCCTTTTCAGAAGTTCCCATCCTTTGCTGTCCTGCTTGCTCCCGCATTTCATCTCCCACCTCTTCTTCCATCTCCACATTCCTGTAAACTTCTTCCTCAGAGCAGTTTACTATCTCTTCAGCTAGCTCCAGCCTGTCCGGGCAATCTCCTCTGGGCCTTATCTTCATGGCCAAATGCCTCCATTAAGGTGGCAGACTGTCTCCTCCCTGAAAGGAATTCCTGGCCAGCTCTTAAAATAACAGCATTTTTCTCCCGGCTGCCCATATATTATGAGAACATCTGACTCATTCCTTCAACTGTTCAGGAAAAGGAACCACAAAGGACAGCTGATTTTATGATAAGCACCATAGGAAAGCATGGAAGGTATGCAACAGATAGGAACATAAGGTCAATATGGGGGTGGGGGAGTAACTTGTGGGTAGGGCCTCTAATTTCAAATTCATCCTGTGAAGGTTCATCAAAAGACTAGTCTGTAAAATAACCGGAGAGCTATGTTAAACTGATAACGAGCTTTCTAGGTCTCTAAGTTACTAGCTTTTTCCAGAAGGTGCTGTGTGTGAGATTCTTATATAGTAGTGTGTGTGTGAGAGAGAGAGACTGACTGATTTCCCATTGCAGACTAAGCCAGAACCTAAGAGAAGACAATATCTTGATGCTTGGAAGGATGCAAAGAATTCCAGAAACAGGCAAGAGGTCAATGGCTTTCCTGTCCTCTCAGAATGTAGGAGACAGTGTCTCTCGGCTCCCACAGCTCAGACCACTGGTGACTATAAAGATAATAATTCAGGGTGCGACTTATATGCCCATGAGAGGTCACCAGCCTTAGTAGAGTGGGTCCAGCCCCAGATCCATGGATGCAGAGTGTCTCTATTCATTGCCAAAGTCAGACACACCCTAACCTCCAGCAGGATAGTTCACGGAGAAGAAAGTTAAGATATCTAAAGGGGTCACTGAGCAATGCATTTTTTTTTTCTGTCTGTTGTGGCAAAGTACTAACAGTTTCTAAACAAATGATAGTTGTTAAGTCAACTAAGTTCAAGCCCAAATAAAAAAGTTCATGTGAACACAATGCTGGAACCATATATTCAATCTACTATGCTTCACTCAGTGGGAAACAAAGGTAAAAAACTACCTACCAGAATACTCTAACCAAATCACTGCGAACTTCTTGAGAGGACTGAGCCATCTGTTGACAACAGACTTTATTAAAATATTGTGACTCATTAAGCATTTACCTCTGCTGTACCGTGGCTGCTTGGAGGCATGTGGGGCGAACTTGCCCGTGCACTAGGAAAGGGCCACATTTCAAGGGACATGGGAAGAATTTCCTCTATACTTAATATAACTGGTCAAAAATTCATTCTTTGAATCAGACAACATGTGATTCGATCCATTCAGGCTGAAGTCATGTGTTCAAAATATGATATAAATAGTAAACAGTTCAATAACACCATGAACCAGGCGCTGTTATTTAAAAAAAAAAACAAACTTTCTATTTACTAATTTATGTATCCTTTGCGACACTAGAAGGCAGTGTCTACCAACATTCCCATCTTACAGATGAAGAACTGAGGGATGGAGATGGAGTAAAACTTCCTTGAGCTTTCACCAATAGCACATAGCCAAGCCAGGCATGCCACCAGGAGTGTGACCAACCAGGCTTCACACTCAGATGTCACACTGTCACATGTGGGCCGTAGTCCAACTTCAACCGCTTAGCAGTGGCAATACCAGAAACCAAGGCATGCATGGGCTATGGTGTTATTGCCAACTTCATGCCCTGAGATCTGAGGCCTCCAGAAAACCTCACAGATTCCAACTGGCTGCAGGGAGGGTAGTGGCTGATTAAAGGATTTGCATTGCTACATATTTAGGATATACCACTTCGGATAATTCTGCGTGTGAATGGTACCTTCATCCACAGGTCACTAATGTGTCAACTACAGGCTCTGGAGTCTTGTTTAAATAATAAGGTAAATATTATTTGTATACGATTATTTCACATGACAGAGTATTAACACATTCTCTATACTCCTGCTTGGAGAATCTCTTCTTTTGCATATAACTCCTCTCTTCAATACTGGTCAACACTAGCCTGACCAAATGACCTAGTGTGTGCTCCAAATTAAGGGAGGATGCATTCATGAGACCATACTGCGACTGTCATGGGGTATCTGAATCTCTACCTTAACCCAGGAGACACTGTAACAGTGCATACACTAGGACTTACCTGAGATCGTTTTGCACTGAGGCATCCCCTTTCACACAGTCGGCTGGCTGCACTGCACGTTAGTTTGGGTAGCTGGATAGAATACATTCTGTTAAATTGCCTCCAAATGAAATTCTCTCATTATCACCGGCCCTTAATATACACTGGACAAATTAATGCACACAGTTACATTTCCTGCTGTCCTTTTTATATAGTCTCAACTCTAAGCAACAGAAGGGCCCAACTCCAGATGCCACCCGATGAGAGCATCTCTGCTTCCAGAGAACTAGAACTTTATCATTCATTGCCAGTAGCCCTCCGTTGGCATATAAGAGACATGGCCTCTTTCGTGCGCTTGTTCAATTTATGTTTGCTTCGTCGCTGTCTTTCCCTGCAAGACTCCTGTGAGAAGGTGTATGCAGCAGTCTTTACTGCCTTTGCATCATCCTTTTGGGAGAGGGCCTGAGTATCTACTCTCCCCGTACATGACTCAGAGTTCATCCTGACTGGTCCAAGCTGTTGACTGATTTAGACACGGGCAAGTGAGCAGAAGTCAGCTGGAGATCTCCGGAGTGGGCTTTGCCACTCTGGGAAAGACTCAAGACAGGGAGGGAGAGGGTCTCTCTGCTTCAACTGCTCTCACTGCCTAAATGTGATGCCTGGAGATACAGCAGCTGTTTATGGCAATGAGGGCTCCTAAGCAGGGCAGAGGGACGAGAAGGCACTGGGATGGGAATGACGTTATGGAGATATCAACATAACCGATCACATAACTGTATTTCCAAACGTCCACTTCTATGAGATAATACGTGTCTCACTATGGGTCAGGGTTTCTGATGCTCAGATCTACAAGTGTGGCAGGAGCTGGCAGGTCGTGGG